GGGTGTAGTTATCACATACAACCTGCCTTTCTATAGTAACGTAGTCTCCTTCTCCAAGAAGTTGATCTTGGGTAATTTTCCTACCTCTAGCTTTACTCTGCTGTTCAATAACCTTCTCTGAACCACTCCTTTGTAATTGTGGACTGGGCTCTAAAACAACTTTAACCAATTCTATCCAGTCTTTAGGGATAATTCTATTGCAAACTGACTTTGAGGTTAACAGTTGCTTCACAAATGTGAATACATGTCATATGAGACTATCACTCCCTTGAGTCTCCTTAAATCTAACATGGCACAGGAGTCCAGCTAGCTGTAACAGAGCCTCTGCCATTTGACAATTCCTGTAAGGTTACTGGATATATTAAACTTGGTTGTCTGAAAACTTTACACTGTTCCTCTCTATTCTTATACTGCAGTGTTGAAATTGGTTCTCCATTAAATTCCTCTTACATGTTTTTTTAGTTTTTTTAATAAGGCCTGTATCTTAATACTCAGATTAACCAACTTTTTTAGTGATAAGAAAAAATGATGAAGTTGATAGTGTTTGTAATTGACATTAAATAAATACCATCTAAGTTAGATATTCTTTCATTTAATCATTCCATTTTCAAACTGTCTAGCATATTACCATACAGAGACCTAAATCCCTGCATTGTAAGCGGTTCCCCATTTTTTTTAATATTAATATTTTCTTTTAACTAATCCTTCCCTTTAAGAATTCCCAGTTGTCTTACTGTCTACTGACAATGTTGATGAAGATGTGAGGCTTATCACTGCTGTGTAGAACACTAAAAGCCTGACTGAATTTCAAGGCAGCTATCTAATTTGGCAGAAGTCCAAAAAGGGGGTTCAGAGAGACCCTAAAACTCATGGGTTTTATAGATAGATAGAGAGAGAGTGCCCTCTGTCTGAAAAAAACACACAGGGAATTGTTTGAAAAAAGCATGTATGGCCGGGTGCTTCCTGAAGGCAGAGTCAGGCAGTTTGGGGCTGGTGATTTCTGTGCCCTTTGGAGCCCTGGTGCTTCTGGAGTTTGATTGGCAGCTGGGACTGTTTCAGAGAGGCTGTAGTAGGAAAATCCCAAACTCACTCAGAAGCTTGGGGAATAAAGAAAAGAAAACCTAGTCAGGTGGGGCTGGAACCTCATGTGCAGCTCCGTCCCATGCTAGTGGCTTTTTCTTGAATTTGTATCCCAAATGTTAGGCATCTAATGTAGCATGATTAGTAAAAACACAGAGATGAATATTGGGGTTCAGCCTGAAGATCAGAAAAGCAAACAGCCAAGTCAGTAGACTAGAGTACTCTTAACTCTTTGAAATCTTCAGACTTTTTGTAAAAAAGAGCGAGGTCCTATCTCATCCTGTTTTATATTCCTCTCTAGTGCTGGGATTAAAGGCATGCACCACCACTGCCTAGCTTCTGTGGCTAACTAGTGTGGCTGATGGGATTAAAAGTGTGTGCAACCACTGCCTGGCCTGTATGGCTGACTAGTGTTGCTGCTTTGCATTGACCTTCAGGCAAGCTTTATTTATAAATTACAAATGAAATATTATTACATGCCCCTTCTGGCTAAGAGCCAGTCTTTCTCTTTTTCATTGAGCCCTGGGAGGAGGGGTGTGATAAAGACATCCCATTTAGAGCTGATTGTTCCGAAGTCCATTGTTTCTGCATATTGTCCACTTAGTGTGGTGGTGGGGTTCTCTGTTAATTACCATTGCTGCAAGAAGGAGCTTCTATGAGGGTTTGGTGATGCACTGACATGTGGGTCTAGCAATATGTTATTAGGAGTTGTTTTATTGCTATGGTGATTTAATAGTAATAGTGTGGCTTTTCCATAGGGCCCATGACTTATTTAGTCTTAGTTTCTTGACCTTATTAATAGAGTCAGGTATGGGTTCAGGGAATGCACCTTAATTCCTGTTAAAAAAAAAAAAAAGATTATTCTCCTAACATTGTGCCACTCTTGTATCATTGGGCTTATCTTTTCAGGCAGGTGGCTATGATAGCTCTCAGGGTTTGTAGCTGAGTGAGACTTATAGTACATTTCTCTTCTAGTTACTTTTAGTGGCATGTATTGCACCTTTGAGCACCGTGATCAGTAGGCAGTAGGGGTGAAGCTTCCCGTTGAGTACCAGCTTGATTTTTCCATGTTCTATGACATTAAGTGTGCAGTGTCTTCAGCAATAGGATCTTATTGTCAGGTTGTGGAAGGTAGCCAATAACATTGACCAATAGCCTGTAATGTTTGGGTGGGGAGTATAAGACTCTTTTGACCAACAATTCAAAAAGACAACAACAACAACAAAAGACTCAAAACCCATTCCTAGTAGTGGGGAGTTTTCTTTGATAACATATATCTAATTAGGGTATCACCCACCCCATTATATGATATATTTAAACTGATTTTCTCTCTCTAATATAGTTTTGTATCTGTATAATTATACATGTATAATATATATGGAAACTTCTAGACTAGTAGGCTTCAATATAGCTTTTTAAAAAATGGTCTTCAGGGCCCAGGAGTGGTGGTGCATGCCTATAATCCCAGCACTCCAGAGGCAGAAGCGGGAGAATCTCTGTGAGTTTGAGGACAGCCTGGTTTACAAGATGAGTTCCAGGAAAGCCAGAGTTGTTACACAGAGAAACCTTGTCTCAAAAAACAAAAACAAAAACAAAAATCCCAAAAAACCCCACAAAAACCAAAATAGCATACACACACACACACACACACACACACACACACACACACACACACACACATAAATTTAAAAAACATAAAAAGGCCTTTAGTGTTAATTAATCCTTCCCCATATTCTGTTATCTACCCTAACTTCTTAGCCCCTACCTTGTTTAATCCTCTTGTTCTAACTTTCTTTTCTCTTCATCTCTTTATAATACTATATTTCATTTTTTCTTCCCTGGGAGATCACCTCTTTCATCCTTGTCCTTTCTTAGGACAATCCAGTCTTCTGGATATTCTCATTGAAGTATACATATTAAAACTTAAATGCTAAGATCCACATTTAATAGAAAACATGCAGTGCTTGTCTTTCTGGTTCTGGGTTACCTTAATGAGGATGATTATTTCTAGCTCTATCCACTTCCCTGTAAATTTCATATTTCTTAACAGCTGAGTAATAATCCCTTGTGTAAATGGCCATTCTAATTATGGTAAGATGAAATCACAAAATTCTTTTAATTTGCTTTTTTCTGATGTCTAAGGATGTTGAACATTTAAAAAGTTTCTCAGCAATTTTGAGAACTCTGTTTAGTTCTCCACCCTATTTAATTGGGTTATTTGTTTTATTGATTAGTTTTTTGAGTTCTTTGTATATTCTATATCAGTGATTCTCAACTTTTCTAATACTGTGACCCTTTAATACACAGTTCCTCATGTTGTGGTGACTCCAACCATAAAATTGTTTTTATTGCTACTTCATAACTGTTATTTTGCAACTGTTGTGAAATGTAATATAAATATTTGTTTTCCAGTGCTTTAGGCGACCTCTGAAAGAGTCGTTCAACCCCAAAAGGGGCCACAACCTATAGATTGAAAACCACTGTTCTAGATACTAACCCTTTATTCAGATATAATTGGCAAAGACCTTTTCCCCATTTTGTGGGCTGCCTCTTGATGATGGTGTCATTTGCTGTACAGAAGCTTTTCAGTTTTATGAGGTCCCGTTTATTGTTGATTTTAATGCCTGTGCTATAGGGTTTTATTCAGAAAGTTTTTTTTTTTTTTCTGTGCCAGTGAGTTTGAATGTATTCCCTAATTTCTCTTCTATCAGACTTAGGGTATTGGGTCATATGTCCTTAATCTATTTGGAGTTGAATTTTGTGCAGGGTGATAAATATGAATTTATTTTAATTCTTCCACATGTAACTATTCAGTTTGGCCAGCACAGTTTGATAAGAATGTTGTCTCTTCTCCAGTGTGTACAGTTTCTTTGTTAAAAGACATAAAAAAAAAAACAGGTTAAGAGTAGGTATGTAGTCTTATGTTCAGGGCTTCAATTCTGTTCAGTGAAGCAATGTGTCATGTTTTTATGGCAATATTGTACTGTTTTTATTACTATAGCCTTGTGGTGTAGCTTAAAATCAGTGATGGTGACCATCAGTTCTTTTATTGTTAAATTTTTAGTTATCCTGGGTTTTTTGTTTTCATATGAACTTTATTTTTTTCCCCCAGTTTTTGTGAGAATTGTGTTGGACATTTGGTGCAGATTGCATTGGATCTATAGGTAACTTTTGGTAGAATGACTCTTTTTCCCCAATATTAACCATCCATAAGCATGGGATATCTTTCTGTCTTTTGGTGCCTTATTCAGCTTGTTCCTTAAGTGTCTTAAAGTTTTTATTATATAGGTCTTTTACTTGCTTTGTTATTCCAATTTTTTTGAGACATTTTAAAAATGACTATTGTAGTCAGGGTTCTCAAGAGTAGCAGAACTTACAGACTGAATCTCTTTATATACATACACAGCGTTCTCTAGAGAAGCAGAAATTACAGAATGAATCTCTTTATATACATACATACACATACATTACAGAGTTTTCTAGAGTAGTAAAACTTACAGAATGAATTTTTTGTTCTTTGAGACAGGGTCTCTCTGTGTAACAGCCCTAGCCGTACTGGAACTAGCTCTGTAGAACTTGAACTCACAGAGCTCCGCCTGCCTCTGTCTCCTGAGTGTTGGGATTAATGCTGGCCACCATTGGCCAGCAGAATGAACTTTTTTGTGTACACACACACACACACACACACACACACACACACACACGTGTGGAAAGCCATGAATTCACTAGTTGCTTAGTCAGTGAGACTGGATGTCCAGCTTGTCAGTAGATGCTAGAATTCTGAAGAAGTAGGCTCTAGGGTTGGTGAAAGAATGGACTTGCTAGAAAGGCCAAGAGTATAAGCAGGTAGAGAGCAAAAGCTTCCTTCTTCCATGTCCTTATATAGGCTTCCAGCAGGTGTGCCCAGATCAAAGACATGTGTCTTCCCACCTCAAGATCCGGATCACAGGTGCGTGCATTCTACCTCAATGATTCAGAACTGAAGTGGATTCACCCAAGCAAAAATAATCTCTCAAGAGTATGTCCTCCATTTCTGAATTACAGTTCATTCCAGATGTAGTCAAGTTGACAACTGAGAATAGCCATCACATCTACTGTGAAAGAAAGGTATTGCTTCCCTGATTTCTTTTTCAGTTTGGTTGTCATTTGTATTTTGGAAGGCTAGTATGAGTTAAATTTGTATCCTGCTTCTTTACTGAATTATGTGGGTCTTCGTCCAGCTTCACTGACTAAGCAACTACTGAATTCGTGGGTTTCCAGTCACAGCCCTTCACTGCTGAATTAGTTGGATTGCAGTCTGTAAGTGATTCTAATAAATTCTGTGTGTGTGTGTGTATACACAAAGGTTTATGTGTATGTGGAGGCCTGTGGAGGCCAGAAGAGGGCCTTGGATCCTTTGAAGCTGGAGTTACAGGCACTTTTGAGCTGCTCAGTGTGGGTGCTGGGAACCAAAGTTGACTTCTCTGTAAGATCAGCAAGTGTCTTTACCCACTGAGTCATTTCTCCAGCCTCCTCATCCATCCATCCATCCATCCATCCATCCATCCATCCATCCATCCATCCAT